GACAGAAAGGTTAGAAACACTGTCAGTACTGGACGGAGATCCAGCACCTCATGGCAGGATGCTGGCTGCTCTGAGGGAGCCTAGGCTGACACGATGCCAGACTGAATTGGGATGGAACAGGATGGAGGATTCGCTGGCCTCGTGTACCTCCGGAAGGCATTTATTAGACACTCACTTACAGATTACTATGGAAAACATACTTTATTATTATATATTAAATTATATCTTATTACTTTTAAGTTTATTTAAATATATATATATGCATAACAAAGAGAGAGGCGGGGAAGTACTGCTGGTTGGATGCTTGTATGTGTTTAGTGTGATGCAGGTGAACAGCGGATTCATCATGCCTCCCTCCCTTTGTGTTTCTTTTCCTCCATCGATTGGTTCAATGATTTTCTCTTTCATATATCAGGAAAACAGAGCTTGCATTGAAGCTTTGTAGACTCCCAAGTTCTTGCAGACCCTTTCCTATGTTTTTCAGCAAGAACTTAAAAAGCCAAGGAATCTGAAGTGGAGTTGAGTTGGTTTTATGCTAGAGACAAACTCTCCTGACTGGACTAGTCTAAGACGGCTACACCGTCATACCATAGACTTGCCTGCGGGGCTTCAGGAAGCGACAGAAAGGTTAGAAACACTGTCAGTACTGGACGGAGATCCAGCACCTCATGGCAGGATGCTGGCTGCTCTGAGGGAGCCTAGGCTGACACGATGCCAGACTGAATTGGGATGGAACAGGATGGAGGATTCGCTGGCCTCGCTTCCACATCGCTCTCCATGGGACTCTGAGGTATTTATGGTTCCATTGGCTTTAGAGATAACACTGGAGATGGGAGGAAGAGGGAATTTGGGGATCTTCGTGGAGGTGGACTTTACACAAGTCTTGTGAGCTTTACACAAACGATTGTAGAAAATCTCTGGGTGTGTTCAGAATAGAATACAAACATGTTGCACAGTGTTTACCGCCTTTTTTCCAAACTATTGAGAACAGAATGCAGTAAGCAACAATAAATAATTTTGTCCTGACTTTTGGCAGTTCAGTCAAATGACTCATGTTAACAGGATTTGATATTGATGTGATTCATTTGTCACTCTTCAGATTGAAGGTTGGGTGCATTGCATAGTGGGGTAAAACAAAACACACAGTGTGCTTGTACAAAATGTATACTTCCCATTTTCGCCAATGTAGTAGGTTTTTCAGGTATTTTTATGACAAAAAAATGCATATTATGCAAAGTATACATACAACATTATGCCCTTCTGAACTTACCCTTATTTTTAAATGACTCCGAATTTTTTATTAATTAATAATTATTTTGAATTAACACTAATATTTTAATATTGTATATTTATTTTAACAAAATACAGTTTTTTCTATAACAACATAAATGTGTCTTAAAATATACAGCTGCTGCCTTCATATTTTAGGAAAGGAGTTCTTCTCAAGGGTCATCATATTTGGTGGTCCTTGGCATTAAAATGCCATTTTAGTTTTAGTTTAAGGTTTAGTACTTTTGTTTTGTGCTTTTGTCATTTTTTTTTATTTTTTTTATATATATATATTTATACATATCTTTAATTCTTTTTTATTTCAGTTTAATATTTTTAGTACAACTTAAACTTTTTTCAGCTAGTTGTCAAGGCAAGATACAAAGTATTGGTTTTATTTTTTTATTTTTTTAGGTTTAAGTCTTTCTGCTAGTATATTTATATTTTATTTCAGCTATATTTTAAAATGTTTTATAGATTTAGTTTCAGTTAACAATAGCAACACCGATTCTAAACTGTCAGACTTCAAATTTTTGCCTGGTGGGCAATAAAAGAGATAAGAAAATATAGACTTTGAATGAGGGACCTGGGTGAGACCTAGGCGTGTACCACTTCATTTTTTATGGCTTCCCTCGCTAACTTCCCTCCGTCTCGTTGACTTGGATGTACGTCATTGATTTCATTGCACAAGTGCTCACTACTAGTGGAAACCTTACAGTTGGATGAATTGGAACGTCCTAAAACCTTGATCACTTGGAATCTGCTATGGAGTTGATTTATTATTTACATTTTTTTCCCCTTACAAATTTGCTTGATGCACCATTCTATATGTATGTGGAGATGCGTTGACTGTTTTAAATATTTAAAAAATAATTAATATATCATAGAGTTGTTTAAGGTGGGGGTTAATTAAGCGTGACCTACGATGATTGCACAATCATGTTGCATTAGGATCTATGGAGCTACCTGAAGTGTACATATGAAGTAGAATCGTTCCCTCGGTCAAAATCGAGGGGTCAAGGGTCAAGAAGTGGAACACACTTCAAAATGGCATCAGGGATTCCCCCGAGGGGAAGTGCTTAGGGAAGTTTGAGAGTGTGTGTCTAAAAGGGAAGTGAAACTCAGCCCTATTGACCAGCATCCAGTTGCATTAACATAGCCACTATGTAAGACTGTGTCTAAAGAACTAGTTTGACCAACTAGCAGTTAGCAAAGTCTTAATCAGTCTTATTTTTTTTAGATTCAAATTAGGCCAGTCTACCTTTTTATGTAACTGACTTTAAAAAGTTATGACCAGACTTAAAGAAAAAATTAAGCAGTTTATGCAGCCGGTCCCAGAATACCACCCAGTATACCTTCCCAGGTGAAAAAGAAATATATTTAAATTGTGCTTTTTCAGACATACTCTTGAACAAATATAAACACCAATCAACGAACTCTACCACAGTTGGCTAATCAGCTCAAGACAAAGTAATTGTATGTTCATAATCATGGTTTTTCAAAGATCATTAACCTCATTACAATGAAGCCAAATTGTTCAGGAAATCAGAAATAAATAAATACACAACTTCATTTTGCAAATAAAAGAATGTTAATGTTGTACATGTTATAATGACTAATTTTATTTTATTTATTTTTTCTGCCAATGCATGTGTCAAAAACACGACTGGCACAGACAAATAACGTTAATTAAATCTTACCTGAAGTCACAGTGAGGTTCCAAAAGCCAGACGCCATACACGCTTGCAGAAGCTGGTAAAAATAAGAACATACCGCTATATTTTCTAATTAATTTTGTAGTTCCCCCAAAACAATTTGAATTCTGTCATTACTCACCCTTAAGATGCTCCAGTCCAAACCATCTAAGACTTTCGTTCATCTTCAAAAGAAAAGCTGAGATATTTTAATAAAAATCTGAGATCAGTGGGTTGTTTGAATTTAAACAAGTAAACGCAAGTTTTTTTTTTTTTCATATATGATGTTGAAATCCTTGTGGGAATTTCAGAAATATATATTAGAAAATAAAGGCGTCAAGCTTGAACAAATTTATAAACACCTAGCTTATTACAATTATTGTTTTATGTAATGAACAACAGCCTAATCAACCAAAGTAGCATAACCTTTTAAGTAAAACTGAACAACATATTAAACAACATATTTTAAATATCGCAATGCTTAATAATAGTTGACAAACGTTTGTACATTGTAAATGTTAAAAATGTTTTTCAAAATATTGTACTTTTCCAAATATTAAAATTATAAATACATAAATATTTAAAATATAACCATGAGTATGCCTACTGCAATATAAAGTACATTAAAAACCCACTAAAAGTGTAATCATTTTGTTATGTTCTTACACAAAGTAGACATAAAATATACTTTAAGTAAGGGTAACATAAGTATGTTTTCTGTAAATACACTAAAAAGTCACTAAAAGTATGCTTGTGTTTAGTATATCCCTTAAAAGTGTAACTAAATATATATTTATTAACATAGTATTTCTACTATACTTTTTAGAAATATACTAATAGTGTGCTTGTGTTTAGCATATTCCTTAAAAGTGTAACTAAGCATATATTTATTACCAAAGTATTTCTAGTATACTTTTTTATAAATACATTAAAAGTATGCTTCTGTTTAGCATATTTTTTAGAAGTATAACTAAGCATATATTTAATACAAAAGTACTTCTAGTATACTTTTTAGAAATATATTAAAATGCAATTCAATATATTTTTATTGCACTTCAAATAAGCATGTTGGGAATACAAATGTATTATAAACATACTACTTGAATTTCAAGTATATTTTTAATACATTTAATACTACGTCTTTTTCACCTGGGTTAGCAACCACCCAGAACATCTTAGCAACCATATGCTGTAGCAACACCCTGACAACCACCCACAGCACCCTGGTATCATTTCATTTCAGTTGAACGTTGTCTAAGCAGCTACTGTTTCTTAATGCATCCTGGTTTTGTTATTGTTTGGGTCTCAGTATATTGAGCGATGGAAGACCGTCTGTGCCCATAAACTTTCATCACTTGCATGAGAGACACTTTACTGGTACGCCAACGTAGGGTGACATCATCTCACCGTGTGGAGATAGAAAGCTGATGGATTAGAGGGGGAGACAAAGAGAAATGGATGGAAAGAGAGAAAGAGAGAGTGGGAGGAAGAGAGTGAGGAAAGAAGAGCTTGAACGTTGTGTCTTTAGTCACCCTTTTCCACGCCCACTGCTACTGTGATGGAGCAGGAGGATTGGGGGCGGTGTCATGGCAACCGTGTGGGAAGCTGTCTGTCACACGAGCTTTCTACTGAGTGTGGTCTTGCTCTCTCTGTGCATCAGAAGCCCAGCAGCAGGCGCACGCTGCAGGGGGATTGCCGGTGCTCAACCCCTCCTCCCTCAGGCATGGAGCAGGGTGACGAGCCCCAGGTCGGGCCCGAGAACACGTGGGACACAACGGCGTACTGCTGTGATGTGCGTGGCGTGGGTGAGAGTGATGCGTTTGAGACCGCTTCGCAGAAATTCCCGCTTATTTCAGCTGTGTGTTAATTTAATGCTGCATGTTCAGGTTTATTATTGAGTTCGGGTGAATTCAGTAAAAGTGTTTTCTCTCTTTTTCTAGTTTACTTGTCTGAATTTTTGTTTGTACCGTCTGTCAAAGTTTTTGCATTTCTCGCTGATGTAATTCTCTCTCTGGCTTGTTGTCGTCTTCTCTCCAGGAAGAAGTGTCTGTTAAAGAGATCAACATCACACATCATGTTAAAGAGGGCTCAGAGAAGGCCGACCTGCAGCAGTTTGAGCTCAGGAAGGTGCTTGGACAGGGCTCCTTCGGAAAGGTAAGTCACATTAAGTTAGTGCTGTGAAGCATGATTTTATATATAGAATATATGATGGTAGAAATATATACAGGTGGAGCTTCTGTTATACTGTTTATACCAAGGGTCTTCAAACTTTTTTAGTACAAGGACCCCATTGGTGCATGGAGAGACAGAGCAGGGACCAGTGTTGTTGTTGCAAACAAAAACGATTAAAAACTTAAATATTAAATGAAAAACTTAGACTTAAAAAACATAGCAACTAACTGAAATAAATGTTTAAGTTGAAATACAAAAATATTAAAACACTAACACCGTGTCCTAACTACATGCGATGCGACGCCGCGAAACACGATAAAAGGTATCTTTTCCATGTTAATCAGAGTTTTTGTCCTAACTAGCCGCGATGGCGACACGCGAAATTTCTAATTTAGAAATGGTTTCTATTTCCACGACATCGCGGCTGGAACAACAACATACAAACTATATGAAAGTAGATAATCTCAGGTGATTATGTGCTTCATTCAAAGTTAAACGTCTCTAATATGAGTTTAAATATAATTTTGTGTGACCTTATAGCCATACTGAAAGCAACAATAGATAGTTTAAAACTGTGGACTCGCTGCGAACCAACGAGTGTATTCCATGACAAAGATGTTATCAGTCACTCAGTATGTACATTTAATGATGTTAAAAAGATTTAATATTTATGAATTAGATTATAAACGTATCCATTTCGCTGCAAGAGCAGTGCGCTTCCACAGAGAGCCCGCCCACACACGCTTCTGATTGGCTGTTATATTTGATTGATTCTGTCGCGTCGCGGTGTTGGATCGCGTTTGGTGTGGACACCCAAATTGCTTGTCGCTGGAATCTTGTCGCGTCGCGTGTAGTTAGGACACGGTGTAATACTCATTGAAAATTAAAAAAGTGCTGCACATAACAAAATTAATAAAAATATAATCGAAACTGAGAATATGAAAAGAAAAGCTGATTTAAAGTTTTAATATTATAGTATATAAATAATACTAAAATAACACTGACAGGGACCTCCTTGTTACTTGCGGTACATATATGGTACTGAATTTTAATCCAGATCTAAATTAATAAATGTAATAAATATTATATTTTAGTTTAATCCATACTTAAATTTTTTCACTACAAATATTTTCACTTTACAGTAAGTTTTTATTAACATCAGTTAACTACATTAGGTAGCATGGACTAACAATGAACAATACTTTTATAACATTTATTAATCTTAGTTAATTTTAATTTCAACATTTACTAATAGTTTTTTTAAGATCAAAAGTTGTATCTAAAAGTTGTAATGTTAATGCTCTGTGAATTAACATGAACATGAACATTTTTTATTTACTAACATTAACAAAGGTTAATAAATGCTGTAAAAATATATTGCTCATTGTTACTTCATGTTAGTTAATGCATTAACTAATGTTAACAAATGAGACCTTATTGTTAAAGTTTTCCTGAAAAAGGAAATAAAGAAAGAAAGAAAGAAACCTTTTTGTTTGTGCTCAACAAGTTCCAAACAAATACCCCAAAAATATTGTCAAATGAGGTGCAATCTGTTTAATTTTTAAAGTAATTAACTATTACATAATCGAATGATGCATATTATGTGGTATTTAAAATATTTAGGCAAATAACTGTTTGTGTACATATTGTTACTGTGATTTAAAATTACTCATACAGTGATATAAGATTTTGGTCATACCGCCCACCTATACAAATATATTTTTAGTGTTTGGTGTGTGTGTGGGTTTGTGTATGTTTGCATTGTGCTTTGAGAGGCAATCAGCACAGATGAAAGCCTGAGCCATGCCCAGGTGAAAAAAAAACAGTCATTCATACTTTAACGACAATCTCAGTAAAATTACACATGGAGTTAGTCACGGTCACTATAGTTACAGTGTCATGGTACAGCACAGAACGTCTCGGTTACGTATGGTAACCCTCGTTCCCTGAAGGAGGGAACGGAGACGTCACGTCGGATGACCGACGAATTGGGATCTCGCTTAGAGAGACCAATCTACTTCGAGTGTAAACTAAACGAGCCAATGCACACTGGCATGCGATTATTGCATCCAGCTGCTGCTGATCACAGCGTGAGTATAAGTAGGCAGCAGATGCAGCGCATATTCAGGTTTTCGCTGAGGAGCCGAGCTGGTGACTCGGCTGCTCAGTGGTGGTACAGGAGCTGTGGCGACGGGACGTGACGTCTCCGTTCCCTCCTTCAGGGAACGAGGGTTACATACGTAACCGAGACGATCTGTGGAGTATTTTTGGCGTAGGCCAGGGCTTCACAAGAGGACCAGCTACTGCTACTATGGCACTACCCAATGAGTAAGACTGGATAACACTGGGAAACGTACCCGTTCTACTTGGAACAGGGACATTACGGAAGCTGCAGCCTTCTCGAAGGAGGTTTCGGAAGCAAATACGCATATGAACATTCCTTAGGTGCATATGGAAGAATGGAGGTGATTGAACCCTCTTGGAATGGCAGAAGTCTGCCGGGGAAACACGGGCTCGAGGCTATACCGTGGACTTTACACATATGAGATCCACTTAGGTCTTACATATGGAACCCAGCCTTCTACCGGGCTATTTGAGTTAACGAGGTACAAGACAGATCCCAGTTTTGTAATTTGAGATGGAATGAACTGTCTATTAATGAGATACATTAATTTGGGGTTCTTTTCAGTTATAAAAGGAACAATGTAAATGTTACTTTACCGTCGGTTCTACCATACAATGTGTTCAGTAGAAACAATTCAGAACATGAGTACAATTCAGAGTAAAAGCATAGGCTATAGTTTCCTAAAAAAAAAAATTCTAAATAGATTTAGTGTATTTTTGGAAAATATTTTTATACAATTTAAGCATGTCACTGCTTGAATATTCATAGCATCTACCCAAAGGCAATAAATACCATATGGCTTATAGAAATGTATGTCAGTGTAATACAGTATTACACTGAAGTAGCCTAGCTGTTTAAAAAATGATTAAAAATTGAAGCAGCTTAAAAACAGGCATCATACACAGTAGTTCGATAAAAATATAAAACAGAAAGATCTCGCAGTCAGATCTTTAGTCATTATTTTCACGCATTATCCGTACAAATCCAGTTTCTAACCCTGAGTTAAAGGCTCCTGCGCGCTCTTCTTGAGCCAAAATGGCGCCTATGACTAATTAGCTGTCTAACGTATAGCCAGTAAAAACATTGCATTATGTTGTTGTCTTTAATCAAATTTCTGACATTTCTTAACCAATATCGTATTGTATTTTATAAATACTGATGTTAATGTGGCACTTATAATATTATATATGATTTTGCTTATACTTAAAGCTATATTTCTGGAAAGGCACAAAGAGCAGATCCTACACATGAACCGTGGGATGGACCCCTCATACCGTCCAAACATGGCAACTCACGAAGCAGATTCAGAAGCCGGTGCTGGTATGATTGCTCACATTATTCTCAGCATAATTCTGTCGCATTGCTTTTATTGCAATGATAGTGTGTATGAATAGGCTACGCCACTTAATGCATTTTGCAACTGGGTCGAAGCAAATGTATGTGATTAGTCATCCTTGCACAGTTATAAGGACTGCCATTGCGCTACATAGATAAGTGAGCTCATTTAAACGCTGAATTCTTCCTTTTAGATTATTTTCTGGTTATTATGTTCCTAGACTATCGGTCAGGAGTAGAACGATAGAACCGCTCGGCTCCGAAGCAAAAAGCTGAATATGCGCTGCATCTGCTGCCTACTTATACTCACGCTGTGATCAGCAGCAGCTGGATGCAATAATCGCATGCCAATGTGCATTGGCTCGTTTAGTTTACACTCGAAGTAGATTGGTCTCTCTAAGCGAGATCCCAATTCGTCGGTCATCCGACGTGACGTCGAGAGTGACCGACTGAAAGGGAACTAATTGTGTTTTCAAGACGAACTGATGAGTAAAATAGATCCTGTTTTAAAGTGTTTTTTAATGTTGTTTTGATGAAGCCTTGATTTTGTTTGTGTGTTGCAGGTGTTTTTAGTGAAGAAGACAACAGGCCCGGATGCAGGACAGCTGTATGCAATGAAAGTGCTGAAAAAAGCCACTCTGAAAGGTATTAAGTCAGTCAATATATATATATATATATATGCACACATTTTTTCACTAATTTGCATGTATGTAAATTATTTTAAAACTTAATAAAAAATGTATGTGAATATTTAATAGATATATGAATGTATAATTTATTCACTCTTTTTTTAAATAATAAATATAACAAATGAGATGTACACAAATTGCTGAAATTAAATTACCACTTATTTTACATAATATTTAATCAAACTTCATTGCAATTGTTTATCATCTATTGACAAGACTGCTAGTACAATCTGAAATTGACTTAGAGGGCAAATTCAGTTTAAAACACTTTAACTTCTGTAACTCTATTATTGAACACTGCCAATGGTTTTTGAATAGTCAAATATTGTCGTAGGTCATATATCATCTATGAATTGTATGAAGTATGATTTGGCAAATTTGACTCCTTGAAACAAATTCAGTAAAACATGAAGAAGGCTTGACGTTTGGCTTTAGTCCTGTAGCTGAAAGTGCAAATTAATTGTTTTTGCCCTTGACAGGAAGTCTTGCAGGTGTGCAAGCCAAGAGATTATAAACAGTTCAAAAGTCTCATTAACACGTGGGACTCCAGATGACTCAAGAAACATCCTAAGCATTTACTTCCACAGTAGCCTGGTTAGGTTCTGTTTATTCCAGTGTTTTGGTTGGTTAATTCCCAGTCGTAGCTGTTTTAAGAATGTAAATTGATGTTCGTGGAAGGGTACAACTATGAAAAACAGCCCTTCCATCCCTTCTCTTGTCTCTCTTGCACTGCATTTTTCTCCCTACTTTATTTAATTAGTCATCCGGTGCCATCTGCGTAATTCTGCTTTGCCAGATTTCTGGGCGGAGGGGGAACGTTGTTAGAGGGGAGAGAAGCGTTGTTAGTGTACTTAATTGAAGTAAACAGAAGTGTTATTTATGCGTGTGTTTTCAGTACGGGATCGGGTCAGGACTAAGATGGAGCGGGACATCCTGGTGGAGGTTAATCATCCCTTTATTGTTAAGCTACACTATGGTAAGTGCTGGTCATCGGCCAATCAGAATAAAGAGCAGCTCTTGTTCTAATGTTCTGTTAACCAATGAAGCCATTCTTTCTTTCTCACACTCTTCTTGTGTACTTCTTGCAGCATTCCAGACTGAAGGAAAGCTTTATCTGATTCTGGACTTTTTAAGAGGAGGTGATCTCTTTACTCGACTGTCAAAAGAGGTAAATAGCGCATGGTTACCCCAAGCATTACATTTACATTAAAGCATTTAGCTGATGCTTTTATCCAAAACAACTTACAAAGCAGAGTCTCATGTAGCCACCAGCTCCTTGCAATTTTCTCAGCTTATTCTCGCCAAGACTGTCCACTTAGAGAGGACGAGACTGTCTGATTGATATGTAAAGCATATGCTCTCCTTCCTCAGGTGATGTTCACAGAGGAGGATGTGAAGTTTTATCTGGCTGAACTGGCTTTAGCTCTGGACCATCTGCATGGACTAGGCATCATCTACAGAGATCTGAAACCAGAGAAGTACTGAATGTTCTCAAATAAACCCAGTTTAGACTAGAACTTAAAAGGATGGTTCATGCAAATCGATGAAAATTGTCATTATGCTTATTATTTATTTGTCATTCTTTATTTAATATTTCATTTCTAACCTTTATGGTTTAAAACAAAGAGACCATCAAATTCCCAAAAGGACAGAAATAGGAACATTTATTGAAAATTGAGTTATTATTTATCCATTCCTTAGACTTTTATTGTGCTTAATTTGGAGGGGAAGGGGGGCTTATTGTGTTGTTGTGAAGTCTTTTTTTTTTTTTTTTTTTTTTAATTTAATAATGTTACAAAAGATTTCTATCTCAAATAGATTCTGTTCTTCTGAACTTTCTATTCAGCAAAGATGCTTCTGGAAAAAAAAATAACATTAATAACAAAAAATGTTTTCTGAGCAGCAAATCAGCATATTAGAATGATTTCTGAAGAATCATTTGACACTTCATGGAGTAATGATGCTGAAAATTCAGCTTTGCATCACAGGAATAAATAACAATTTTAAATATATTAAAATAGAAAACAGTTCTTTTAAATTGTAATAATATTTCACAGTATTACTGTTATACTACCACATGTTTTGTTCAAATAAATGCAGCCTTGGTGAACACAAGAGACTTATTTAAAAAAAAATCATTATAACAATTCTAAAAATCTTTTTAACGATAATGTAATTTTTCCTTTTCATACTTCCCTTTGTGCTTTTGTTTTTTGCTGTTTCACTAAGCACACTCACTTGTTCTCTTTTTTTTATCCTTCCTCACTGTTGTCTGTAAGGTCGTCAATAAATCTCATTTATGTCTGCAGGGAATAGGGCTATAAAAATAATGGTTGCAGTCTTGTAGCTGTGACATAGAGATATGTCCTTATGGCTCAGGGTGGGATTGGCAGCAGACCCTTTGTGTGAGTGTGTTCATGCACTGTTAAATGGATTTTTAATGCTTTGAATCTGTGTAATTTCAGCATTCTCCTGGATGAGGACGGCCACATAAAGCTGACAGGTAGGTAATTTCAGATTGCTGGATTGGCTGCATCAGCATGGGGCCACCTTGAGCATTTAGGGCTTTGTGTTGAGTTTGACTGCAGCCTCGAGGGAGGGCAGACAGATGCTTTAACCTTCCCTCTGTAGAGAGTTATGGCATCTAAACCACACTCATACTATATGACAAGGTGAACTGCACAGAGCTAATGTGTGGGAAATTAGGTTTTGTGCAATGATTGTGGGAATTTTTTTTTAGTATTATTTATTATTATTTTTATCTTTGATGTTTAGATTTTTAGTTTTCATTTTAATCTTGGTTTTAGGAATTGTTTTTTGTTGTACTTTTGTCAATTTTACTTTTTTTAATATTTCTATTTAGCTTATTCTTTTTATTATTATTATTTATTTTTATTTCAGTTTTTCTTTTAGTACTCTTAGTTCTTCAACTTAAACTTAATCGTTAGTTGCCAAGGCAGTATTTCTCATTTTTGAGAAGCTTATTTCAGCATTATTTCAGTTAACAAAAAACAGTTTTGAGCAGCTGTGGTTGTAGTTAAGAGTAACAACACTGATGTCGCCATACTGAAAGTGTGTTTGTGTGCGTCTTCAGATTTTGGACTCAGTAAGGAGTCGATCGATCACGAAAATAAAGCATACTCTTTCTGCGGGACGGTAGAGTATATGGCTCCAGAGGTGGTGAACAGAAGAGGACACACTTATAGCGCTGACTGGTGGTCTTACGGTGTACTCATGGTGAGGGAGCGCCACTTCCTGTTTCTATTCTTGTTTATTTTAGCATTTTGTATTTGTTCCCATTAAAGGCGATCTCAGTAATTTGTTTTCTCATTAAAAAATTATTTAATCTACTTTGTGAATTTTATTTATTTTATTTTGTTATAAATTTTTTATTAAAAAAATTAATAATATTATAAATAAATTTAAATGATTTAGTTATTTTAAAATACACTTAGGAGATATAAAAATTCATTATTAAATAATAATTAATATAAAATTATTTAAAAAATCTTGAACACTATCTAAACTGGGCCGGAACAAACTAGAATATTGTTCCAGCACCTTCAACCATCTGTCAGTGCAACATCAGGCAGTTAAACATAAACCAAAATATAAAATCATATAAAATCACACTTCAGAGAAACAACTTGTTTTGTTCTCCATCCTCAGTTTGAAATGCTGACTGGAACGCTGCCTTTCCAAGGCAAGGACCGCAAGGAAACCATGACTATGATTCTAAAGTGAGTGCGACGGCCTCATCCTTCCACTACCCCATCGGAGACTCACCTCACACTATAATCTAAACACAGTCATCCACTCTAAGTGGAAAGAGCCAGTGGAATTGGCCTGCGCAACATCTGGATGCTAAGTGCTGTAGCGATGAGGATAAGCCCTTGGTTTAGTTGACAGTGCTGTTTACCTTAAAGACTAAGCACTTAACCATCAGTAACCACGGAACCACACAAAACACACGTCACGTCATAATGCGGCCTGCTGAGGAGTGAATAATGCTCAGGTGTGCCACACTAGCACTGCTGTAGTGGATAATTATAATCAAAGGTCTGCTTACAGTTTGACGGCTTTGAGAAACTGTAGTAATGTGGTTTTAGAGGAATGACCGCTGACTTTTAGAGAGAAGGCAAGATGGCAAGATGAGGGTTTGTCAATTACAGTGTTCATTTGAGGCTTCTGCAGAGGACTGATAAGAACCGATAATTGCCACTGATGTGAATACACAAAGGATTAGCTGTAGAAGAGACCTCAGTGCAGATGACAGTGACCGAGTTTGTCTTTGTCCTCTGTTTTATGTTATCTGACCTCTAGGCTTGTGTAGACAGATTTTGTACCATAATTTGAATTTATCACCACAAAGTCACATTACAGCTCATTCTGGTCCAACAAACTGCCCACTTAAATAGGAAGTGACCTTCAGGCCGACATGTATTTTAAATGATCTGTACAAACGACACATTTTTCTTGACATATAAGGGCAGGCAAATCTGAAGTGAAAATTATATAGAAAGATGTTTCGTTGGAAAACAAAACATTAGATTTGATTCAATCTGATTGGTCAATGACCAGCACTTACAATTGTGCAGCTTAATAATAAAGGGATGATCTTTCATTTGTTGACTATCTGAACTCTGGCTTGACTCTTGACCTGTTTTTTGTAGGGCGAAGCTTGGAATGCCTCAGTTTCTGAGTTCAGAAGCTCAGAGTCTCCTCAGGAGCCTTTTCAAACGAAACCCTTCCAATAGATTCGGTAAGCCCACTCACATACTCTACCTTTCAAAAGTTTGGGGTCAGTATTTTTTTTATTTACAATTATTCTGCAAGGATGCACTGAAATAATCTATTTCAAATCAATGCTGTTCTTTTTAACTTTCAGCAGCACAACTGTTTTCAACATTGTTAATAATAACAAATGTTTCTTGAGCACCAAATCAGTAGATTAGAATGTTTTCTGAAGGATCATGTGACACTGAAGACTGGAGTAATGGCTGCTGAAAATTCAGCTTTAACATCACAGGAATAAATTACATTTTAAAATATATTCAAATAGAAAGCAGTTGTGTCAAATTATAATAATATTTATCAAACATTATATTTAAATATATTTATTTTGTTTACTGTATTTTTGTTTAAAATAAATGCAACTTTGGTGAGCATAAGAGATTTCTTAAAAAAACAAAAACATTTTTAAAAAATCATACTGACCCCAGCCTTTAAAATAGTAGTGTATTAGACTGACTGGATGTTCATTTCTGTGTGTTAAGTTATGCATATTTTGATTTTAACTCATCTGCAGGTGCTGGTCCAGATGGAGTTGAAGAGATAAAGAGACACCCGTTTTATGCTACCATTGACTGGAATGTGAGTCTTTAAAGGAACATGCATTTACGATGAAAAAATTATACTCTATCATTGTATGGTGGTTTTACTGTTTTATCATGTCTTGTTTGTCTAAGAAATTATTTAGAAGAGAGATTCACCCGCCCTTCAAACCAGCCTCTGGCAGACCAGACGACACATTCTACTTTGACCCAGAATTTACAGCAAAAACTCCCAAAGGTACGTCAGCTTATAAACGATTGTGTCTGACACTAGATCAGGTAGACTGTGCTTGCCATCCGTCTTTAATCCCCTCTCAGACAAATACACGAAAACCTGTTTCATTCAATGCTGCTAGACCTTTTGAAATCTGTCGGATTATTTGATGGTGTATTTAATGACTAGATTAAAACCGCTGTGTGTTTTCTGGTAGACTCTCCAGGTGTACCCCCTAGTGCCAATGCCAATCAACTCTTCAGAGGTTTTAGTTTTGTGGCCATCAGCTCAGAAGAAGAGTCTCAACCCCTGCAGGGCAACAGTGTGAGCTCTATAGTTCAGGTATACACACTCATGCGTAACACACTTAAGCCTCTTTCCACATAGTATATGCTGTAATGACTGTTTTTAAGGTGTAGCTATGAGTCTGATTTTATGTCAGCATTACATCTGGTTGTTTACACTCTGCAGCAGTTCCACAGAAACGTGTCTCAGTTCAATGACGCATATGAGGTGAAGGAGGATATCGGAGTTGGCTCATATTCCATCTGCAGACGCTGCATACAGAAAAGCACAGGCATGGAGTATGCAGTGAAGGTGCGAAGCGAGTCATATTAAACCAACACACTGACTGCTTTCATTGAGGCACTAAATCAACCTTAAAAAGACCATCCAGAACACCAAATTGATTGCAGAAAAAAAATTCTCTCTCTCTCTCTCCTTCTATCTCTTTATCTATCTATCTATCTATATATATATATATATATATATATGTATATGTATATGTGTGTGTGTGTGTGTCTGTGTGTGTATATATATATATATATATATAATATTGGATATTTCCTATATTTCCTATTATTGGATAGTTCCTGTTCATTTACCATATGTTTACATTTAGATTAAAAATAAGAAACACAAAAAAACTATAATTAAAAAAAATTATATATTTTTTAAAAATTCCATATAAAATTAAACTTTAAATGTGCATTCAATTTTATTTTTACATTTCTAAAGTGAAATTTTATATTTACATTTTTATTTTTATTTTTTATAACTAAAAACACTAATTCACTAATTTAAGAACGCAGTTAAATTGTAATATTTAACATATCTCAATGAATATCCTTTTTTATAGTGGACATTATAATACTTAAATTCACTTGTAACAATTAAAACGATTCGGTCTAGGTTTTATTGTTTGTTTGTTTTTTCAATTTATTATTATTTAAAATTCTAGACTGTGTTGTCTAAATAAATTAAATAATTATTAGGATATTGGATAGAATTTTAATATCAGCACATCCCTAATAAAACCGCTTTGAACTTCTTAACAACTGCATAGCAGCAGCATTTAATCTTAACTATTTTGGGCCTTTTCAAAGACAATTTTATACTGCCTTACAGTGAGTTTCTTGGACATTGTGATATATATCTCTCTATATTTTTCATGTTTAGATAATCAATAAAGCTAAACGGGATCCAACGGACGAGGTGGAAATTCTGTTACGCTATGGACAGCATCCAAATATAATCACCTTGAAAGACGTGAGTGTTAAGAAACAAGGATGCAGTCTTTTTATTTTCATCCATAAGGATGAAGGGCAATGGTCTGTGGCGGCAGACTCTGAGCTTTGTCTTAGTGGCTGAACACAATTATATTAAGTTAATGTCTAGTTCTTTTCAAAGAGCATTGATGTGTTTACCTGAAACCGATTCTGCTCTGACATTTCCGGAATGAGGGAATAGTGTAATGAGTTTCTGCTCTTATTGTCTTTCCTGCAAATTACTCAGAGCAGATTATCCATCATTCATATTCTTTTAGCAGTGTATTAGTATTATTGTTTCCATTGTTTAATACATTAGAAATGCATCTGCTTCAATTGTTCCTTGAACACAGCATTGATTGCCTTCAAACACAAAATTCATTTCCTGCAGATGTAAATATCCATAACCATATTGTTATGTATTGCAGAATTGATTTCTATAGCATTTCATGAAAAGTGATGTTTGTAATAAAATAGAGATGGTGACTTTAAACTGATTAGCAATGATCAACTAATATAACTGTGTCACTGTATGCAGGTGTTCGACGATGGCCGCTCAGTGTATCTGGTGACAGAACTGCTGAAGGGAGGGGAACTGCTGGATAAGATCCTCAGACAGAAGTTCTTCTCAGAGCGGGAGGCCAGCGCTGTGCTGTACACCATCACAAAGACTGTAGAGTACCTGCACGCTCAAGGGGTATGTAACCTCCCTAGAGCTCAAACTATAGTAAAGAACAAAGTAAAATGTGTGCCATACAGACAGTACATCAATATGTTTAGGGAGACAATAGCTGAGGGAATGAAACTTAAAGCCCAGCTGAAGTACATTAAGATTGTGATCTTGGGAAACAAATGAGGCTTTGTGAGACTGCCTGGTCTTACTGCATACTGGTTTATAATGGCTCTAGGGCAGATAAACTCAACATTAGAAGCCAAGAGGCAGATTCAACCGATGCAAAAGTCTGTAGTATACACTGCCATTCAAGAGTTCTCGAGACATTTGAAAAAAGTCTCTTATGCTCACCAAGACTGTCTTTATCTGATCAAAAATACAGTAAAAACGGTAATATTGTGAAATATTATTACAATGTTTTCTGTTTTAATCTATTTTAAAATGTAATTTATTCCTGTGAAGCACAGCTGAATTTTTTTAGCATCTTTACTCCAGTCTTCAGTGTCACATGATCCTTCAGAAATCATTCTAATTTGCTGATTTGGTGCTCAAGAAACATTTCTTATTATTAATAATGTTGCGCTGATTAATAATTTTTTGGAAAATTGGGATACTTTTTTTTTTTTCAAGATTTGATGAATAGAAAGTTAAAGTGAGCAGCATTTATTCGACATAGAAATCTTTTATAACATTATAAATGTCTGTACTGTCATTTTTGATCAATTTAATGTGTCCTTGCTGAATGAATGTATTAATTTCTTTATAAAAAAATCAAACTGACTCCAAACTTTTGAAAGGTAGTGTATATACTCTGTATAACAAAATTAAAATGATTTTGTAAAAAAATATATATATGATAACAGTAATAACAATTTAAATTATAAATTAAATGATCATTTAAAATGTATTTTAAAATGTATTTAATTTTAAATAAAAAAATAATTGATGGGCCTGATATGGTCTGTGAGCCACCTTGGTTCTAATTTAAGCTTCATTTCCTCCTTATCAGGTGGTTCACAGGGATCTGAAGCCCAGTAACATCCTTTACGTTGATGAATCAGGGAATCCCGAGTCCATCCGGATCTGTGACTTTGGCTTTGCCAAGCAGCTGAGAGCGGAAAACGGACTGCTGATGACGCCCTGTTACACTGCCAACTTTGTGGCCCCAGAGGTACATTTTGCATGTCATGCATTTTGTAAAATAAATGTCAGTTTCTTAATCAGAAAAAATCATTTTGGTCCCCAGGTGCTGAAGAAACAGGGTTATGATGCTGCCTGTGATATCTGGAGTTTAGGCGTCCTTCTGTACACAATGTTAACTGGGTAAGTATGTAAACCTAGCGCTATCAATTTTCAACATGTGTTTGTGTTCAACTGACACGGGGATTTTTCTCAGATTTACTCCATTTGCTAATGGCCCCGAGGACACGCCGGAGGAGATTCTAGCTCGAATCGGCAGTGGGAAGTTTTCTCTCACAGGTGGATACTGGAACTCCGTTTCACTTGAGGCAAAGGTACCCAGTTGAGAAGAGCATATAAATTATACTTTTCAAAAAGCATCTCCTTAAAGGCCCACCAGACAAAAAAAATAATCATTCAAACACCTTGTCTTTTACAGGACTTGGTGTCTAAGATGTAAATTCTTCTTCGAATTCCTTGCTGGTTTGTTTTTGGGTTTTTTTCTGAGCAAGTTTAAATATGTTGTACATTTTTCTTTTCATCTCAGTTGTATTTTTCCTGCCTTTGACTTGGAAGAGTGCTGGAAATGTTGCTGTCCATATAGCAAGCTGCTATCCTGTTCTTTCTTTTGTACATGTAGAAAATAAAGTTTGCCATTTTTACAAAAACACTTTATTATGAATGTACTTTTTTTTTTTTGCACTGTTTTCATTTTTATAGAATTCACATTCACAATACTTGCGAAACATGGGTGAGCCAAAGCGCAGACAAAGACAAGCTTTTCGTTATGCTGCATGTCAGAATTCATATTTGGTGAACTTGCACGTCTGGCAGTGTTGCAGGAAACAGTAAAATCATACATGATATTTTAAGTCAAGTCAAGTTTATTTGTACAGCGCTTTTCACGATACAAATCATTGCAAAGCAACTTTACAGCAAATTAAGTTTCTACAATATTTAGTGGTAGCTTATCAGTGGTGACTGTCAATTAATGTACATATGGCAGAAATGTACGGAAAAATCAATTTAAGACGTAATAAAACAGACGATGAACACTATTAACAGAAATTATTATATGATGCAATCTTCTCAGGTGCAGACTGAAGCTTGTGTCAATCCCGAGGCAAAAACAGATAAACAAATAGAGACATAATTAACATAATTAG